AGGAATAATCTCTTAGACAATAGATTTGTATTTTATGGCAACATGGTGTAAAGTAAAGAAAGTCATAAAGGATATATATATATATATATATATATAAGGAATCTATGTGAGCTGATTGTTTCTTTTACATCCAGTAGCTACAATAGAAAAGTTAAAAAAAGAAAAGAAAAAAGAACAAGCCATATTTTTTAAAGTCCCAGACAAAACAGCTTTTAAAAAATGACAAAAACCTGATGAATTTATAAACTGAATAGTAATCAAAATAAACAACTTTTCACAATTTTGAAATAATGAGAAACATGTTAAAAGATAAAAAATAGCAATATATATCTACTCCACTCTAAAGAGAAAGAAAAACAACAAGTCAAAAACAGGAAATTAAACATATTGTCTCTTATCCATTTTGATAAAACAAGATACTAAACAAGTAGAGAAAGAATAAAAACTTGAGTTTTAAAAATCAAATGCATTATTTTTATTATACAGGAAAACAAAAAGCAAAGAAAATTGAAGTACATGTTTGAAGAGAAATTTCTGGAAGAAGAGAAAGAATAATTTCATAGGAAAAAAAAAAAAAACATAAAGAAAAAATTGGTTAAAAATAAGAGAGACATATTTGAGAATTTATGTATTTATAATATTCTATATAATTAAAATTTATAATTAACATGTTGCAAGAAAATCAAACTTTTTTTCCCTGAATTTCTTGTAAAGCAAAGTTCTTAAGAATAGGGGATGCTTACACATATCACAGGTGATTCTCATCCTTTTATAATTTACTTATAAAGGAGAATCATCACTAAGGTACAAATTATTTACAGAACAAATTCCACAACAAAAATATTTTTGGTTGAATTAAGAGCAACCTTCAGATCATTGTTATGTTAAGCATTGTTTCAGTTATGAAATGTAAAATAATGAACACAAGAAAATTATTTAAAATGTATCTTAAAATATCAAATTTATATTATTTGGGATAATATTTTTTTTAATAACAAATAGAAAACAAATGGCTGCTTTTTATGAAATCCAAAGGACAAAAAAATAGTGAGATACTGACATCTTTGCTTTGATCTCTAACAGCAACTGTTGTCAATAAAGGAATTGACAGGGGAAATTATTCACTCACTCTCCACAATTATTATTTGTTAGATGCCCATTTAGTCAAGCTGATGTTGCAAAGTTTACTCAAAGCTAGTAAAGAAAGTGATATTCAATCCTGACATTTGATTTTCACTTTTCGAATCTTCCAAATCCAAGATCATAGATGATTGTGCATGGAAAAATAAGAAAGTCAAACTGCTACAATCTTGTATTTAAATTTCTCTGGACACAATGTGCGAGTCTGTATTGTAATCTGTAGATATTATAAAACAGGAGAGGAATGTGGCTTAGTGTATGAGCTTTTATATCCAAGTATCTTAATGGGCAGTCATAGCATCTGGTTGAACATCAGTTTCAATTCCATTCACCTATTCTACAAGATGGGTAGCAGTGCTGAACTACAAACTATGAAAATGGACTTTTCTAGCCAGAAAATGACAGCCAAAGGCTTATATTGAAATTTTAAACAAAGGCAATGAATTACCTTCCTGTGATTCATTACATGAATCCTTCACTGTTCTGTTACATCATGTTCTCCAATCCATATCCTTCTGAGATATTCAGGAACTTTACCCATTTTCTCATGGTTTCTTGTAAAAAAAACTTTAAAATCCCTAATGTTTGTCATAGTTTTAAGATTTCTTCTAAATTACTTATCTCCAAGAAAATTTGGTCTTGGTAACTCTGAAGACACTTGGGCTTAGTCCCAACTACTTTCAGCTTGAATGACAAAACATGAATCAATAATTGTCCTAATATTTTTGAGATTTTCTTTTTATGCCATTCTGAGTATCACTTTCCCACTTTTGTAATTCCATTTTTTTTTAATTTCACCTGAATTACAGCTAACCAAAGAAATGGCACTTTTAGAGTCTCTAAACAAGTTTCTTTTTTGCCCTGTATACTGCTAGATTGTAAAATCTGACCTAGATGTTTTTTTTTTCTATCTTGCCACAACCTGTCATGGTAAACAATAGAGATTCAGTTTTAATCACAACTCCCCTTAATCAACTCTTTCTTTCTAACAGAGAAAACCTAAAATAAAATGGAGCTACTTTTATTTGAATTTCCTTTAATCAGAATTTAATATTAAAATGGGTTAGGGTCATCAAATAATACAAAATCATTAATTTTTTTTTGTTTTGACAAAGTACAAAAGTTGACAACAGACCAACATTATTGATCAGTATTCTGCTTGTTTTAAGATTTAAAATGGAGGAGTTGTTGATGTTTGCTCCAACAGAAGAGAATGGATTTCTTGTTTTTTTTGGGTGGGGGGGGGTTGTATAAAAAACCAAAGAAATGTGTTAGCTTCTTAAATTGTTTTCAGAGAAATCATTTTCATTATTACATGTGCTTTTTTTTTCTTTTAATTTTGAGTGTTGTTTTATTTTATGTAAAAATTTTAAACCAATATTTTTTTAACCATTAAATTAATCCTGTAGGAATTTGGAATGAGAGTTTTAGATAAGTCTTTTACAAGCATTCTACACATCATTAATAATTCATTAAAATGAATAAACTCATTAGCATTAGATAGGGTTCTCTCCATCAATTTAACTTTCAATCTTATTCTATACTAATCACTGATTTTCTACAATTAAAACTAACAAGACACACACACTACTATATATATATATATATATATATATATGAATGATAGTTTCAATTAAATTCATCTTTGGTTTGCTTTATTTTATAACATTTTTATATTTTTAATCATGAATGTCTAATGAGGGCATAGTGTGATTGGAATGAAAAAATTAACTTTGACATCTTTACATCAGACTCTTAAAGTTATGTCAATTTTTTTTTTCATTTTCTAAAAAAAGTTGAGTTAAGTTTAAACTAAGAATGCACAGGTTTGTAAGCATCCCATAAATCCAGCTTTACTAAAAAGAAAATGAAATGCAAAATTAAACCTAATCTTCTTCAGTAATTATTTATGATTTGTTCTCCAAAAGGGAAGACTTCATTATTTCTTCCTGGTCTCTTAAAATGTTTATAGTGCTGGACTTATGGAACACAATGTTTTCTAATATAAAGCAAAAACATTTTTTTCTTTTAAATTCTATCACCTTATTGGCTACCTTGATGATTTTTTTAACTGTTATGGTAAAACACACCTATTCTATAGTTAATAGACTCTTCCACCTAATATAAGTAGGAGTAGTAAGAGAAACGAGGGTCATTCGATGTCAGATGACAGTAGTCGAATACGAAAGTAGTCAGTGACCACAACAAGATTACTCTGCGTAATACCTTTTATATCAAGTTCCTAACGTTTTGTACGTCGAACTATTTAGGACCGATTTAGTACAAATACAATCCTCCACTGTGAAATAACTCCACAACATTAACCAGTAAAAATGATTAAACTGAATAGTGAGAGATTTTAAACATTCATATAATTTCTTGAATTGTAATGCTTTCCATTGAAATAAATACATTAAAAAATATTACTATGACATCATTAAGGAACTGCCATTCTTGTTTCTTGTCAAAATTAGAATTGTGCAAAAATTAGTCAATAGTTTAGATTGATGGACAAATAAACAAATACAAATTTAAGACAAAAAGAATAATTTTTTTGTTTACCTTGCATTCTTTTCCATTCAAACACAAGTGAAACAAACACAAAATGCGTACACAGGTGGTTAGCAGATAAAAAATAACAAACAAGCCTGTTAGATCAATTAGCATAACCAAAGAATTGTCATGCAAAAAAAAAAAAAAAAAGGTGATAAGCATGCAGAGAAAAATTTTAATACCTGGAATAATTAAATAAAAAGAGTGAAAATAAGGCCAAGGTTTAAAGGCCATCAATTTTCAAACAAGTTTCTTATTGATAAAATTTTAAATATTTAAAAAATACAAATGAATTTGATAAAAATGCCAGACATCCTATTATAAATCTTTTATCATTTCTAAATTTTTTTTTAAAATGTTGACTAAACTTTAAATATATTTAATACAAAATAGACAATTTATTTTAATGAATATACACAGGAAAACTCAAGAATATATTTATCTGTTTGGTAAAATGTTTTTTTTTTTTTCTTTCTTCCTTTTTCATCTTAACTAAAATAAGCCTAAGAGAATTCTGGAATTAAGTGTTAAGGTCTCATATTAGTAAGATGAGAACAGGGTAAACTGGAATTCTCACCTTGATCTCCTCTTCTCAGGGGATTTTTTAGCTAAAAGGCTTGCAATGACTTAAGTTCAAAGAAAGCCTTTTATTTACCTTTGATATACAAGGCATGAAAAATAAACATTAACATTTTATATATTCATTTTTGACAAACCCAGATTCCCCACTTTCTTCTCAAAACTTCAGAAAAGAAAAAAGAAAATAATTTGCAAACATTTGTATATGAAAGATGACATTTAGAGTTCAATCCTTACCTACAACCATTTTATATGAACTTCCCTTATGTGTTTTTCTATTTCAAATTACTCTAGTCAAGGCTGAAGAATAAGAGTTCAAAATTATCTAAATCCATGCACCCTTAAAGAGAGACAAAGGTCTGCTATGAAGCAGTTAGGAAATTTTGCTAATCTTGTTAGCTACTTTTAAGAAGTGTTTCTAACTGATCTACCAATGCATTCTTGTCTAAGAATATAGAAGAATACTGGTTATTTAGTTTGATTTTAAAAATTAAAACTGAAAGTAAACTTAAAAATTATTCACTATAAAATTGGGGAAATTATCTTTTCAAATATTTGTCAAAAATTTTTTATAAAGAAAAAACTGCTTATTTGTTGTGTAAAGGTTTTGTGCTTTGTATAAAGAGACGAGCAAACAGTTAAAAAACAATGGACAAAACACAAGAAAGGGTAAGTAAAAAGCAAGAAATTATGAAATGTGAGAGAGAGAGAGAATGGAGTTTACTCACACAAAGCATTCTGGGTGCCAAGTTTGGTCATGAGAGTTGACGATCTGATCCTTCATCTTAAAACCCTCACCACAACGAGCACACACGCCATTCTGCAACAATGACATGTTGCTACTGAAAGACAAAAAGAAATTGAAAAATGAAATAAGACAATAAAGTGAGACATTATGTTTGACTATTAACTTATTCTTGTATCCCCACCCCTCTCCTAGTAACACATTGTTAGAGAAGAAAAAAAAAATGATTTTAAGATGATTTCTCCAATTTTGTTTAAAAGCAAATATTGATTTAGAATCTTATAAAAAATCCATTGGTTCAATATTTATGGCTTATCTTCAAAACCTAAAAGTGAAAATCATTACATGTGATTTTGGTGGAATTGTTAAGTTTTGTTTTTGTTACAATGTTTCCTTCAGTCTTCCTTTCTTGCAGAAGGTTAGAGTCAGAATCTTATGGTTCCATGACATTCCAAAATATAACAGACACCTGAGGAAAAAATGCTTCAAACATATATAACAAATGTGGGAACAAAAAGAAGAAAAAAATAATGATTATGAATTTATTTCACAACAACCACAACGTATGATTAAAAAAAAAAAAAAAAAAAAAAGCCTTGTCTATAAGATCAAATGATATTATTCAATCTTGTCAAGACAGAAAAAAAAAATCTTTGATAAAAATTTTAAAAGAAAAAAATCATTTGTATAATGGAAAGAATTCAACATCTGAAAGTCAACATGGCACTCATGGTTGTTTTCCACCCACAATTAAAATAATTTAGAAAGACTTGAATAATAAAAGCTGCCCAGTGAAATATTTGTATGAAGTCGACAGTCCAAATAATATAATCTATTAATACTAATGTAAAAAAAAGGTAATCAAGTATTTAAATACGGAAAGATAAAGGTAAGTAATAATAATTTTAAGAAAGAAGGCAGAGTCATCTGCAATATAAGAATAATTTGGATTGGGGAGGGAGGGGGGTGAATGGGGTAAACAGGTTGATATTGATATCATGAACAGACTATAGCAATCATTTAAAGGTTTGACAACCAATCTTTTCCCAAAGTTTGAAAAACCATAAGAAACCTTGATAATTTGTTGGGATGTCAACAATTTTCATTTCTTTTTCCAGCTCCAATTATCAATTCTATCTTGAAAGTTAAATAATTTTTGTAAATATTTATGCTAGAGATTTTTCCAGAATTCAGGTTTTGTCAATGCAACAAAATTTCTTTACCATTTTAAAATCACTAATTAGATTTTTTTTTTTTTAGATGAAGCATTTTTCAATATTATTTTATTACTAATTTCCCTTTTTGTTCCTTTTTATCCCAACTGACTCCATCAAATAATAAATTGACAGGACTTGAACTGATATTCCACAATCTAAGATCCATCATTCATGCATATCACCTGAAACACTGCAACACTTTAGCTAGGGACGTATGTGGGATTAAGAGCACACAGTCATAATTATTCAGAAGTGGTTAGAAAGACATGAAAAATTCTGGACTCCAGTGGCATGGAATGCAAGTTCAGGTCTTAGTAAAGAGATACTCATTTTATTTTACTTTTTAATTTTATAATTGAGATAAATAGCAATAAAGAGGGTCTGATTCAAAAGCTCATAAGTCAAAGGTCATAATTTAGTCTAACAAGTTCAACATGAGAAAATGGCAGGGTTGGCTGGATTAGCAGGTCATAAATCAAAAAGGTAAAAAAATCTGCATCCACAACTCTTAATATCACAACTACCTTCTTCACCCACAAAGAACCAAGAATCTCTCCTGTCACCCAAAGTAGCCTTCTTTTATTGGGGTAAGAAATGTTGCAATTGGTCACGACTGGTAGGGAATCACAAACAGTTACTATATTTCCAGACCTCCTAAAATCAACTTGATCTGGATTCTGATCTTTTTTTCAACATCACAGAGAACTTGAATTCTTTTTTAAGTAAGACTTGGTTTTTTTTCTGCATTGCCAAAATAATTTCTGATTTTTGCTGGAGCAAATTAATGAGTTTCATTGTTAAAAGGATTTGGGATGAAAAGTAACAATAATGGGATGAAATAAAACAATAAATTAAATCCATTATCAGAATTGAAATTTTCTTTGTAGATTTCATAAGCATTGCATGATTTATGTCAACAATCTCTTAAACTGTTGTAAGGTAGAAAAGAAAACATGAGTTAACCAATGACACTTTCAACAAATCATCTCATGATCATCAAGTGTCACTAGAATTTGAGAGTCCCTCTTCTAATTTCATCCAGATAAAAGCCAATAAATTATTGAAGCAGAGTTGTACACACACACATATATATATATACACATATATATATATATATATATGATAGAGGTCAACATCCATCAGCAACAGTGTTTCATGGCCTGAACATTGCATTTAAGCATGAAACAGATTTTCGCTTCTGGGTGTTGCCTACTTATATATTTAGATATGCTTTATTCCTGATAGAGCACTTTAACCCATAAATATAGCATACCTTAAAACTATATTTTTATTATATATATAATAAAATTACATTTACTGGCCTGAATGTTCGAGAAATGTAATTAATACTGTTTAAAAAAAAAGAAAGAAAAAAAGACCATTTACTTACATTGTATCTATAAAAATAACATATAAACAGAAAATATATTAAATAATTGTCAGACAATCCATATATATATATATATATATATATATATATATATATATATATATATATATATATATGTGTGTGTGTGTGCGTCATAAAGCAATTGCTAAGAAGAAAGAAAAAAAAAGAAAAAAAATGATGTTTTCTTTCTTATCTGGAGAAAAGGAACAGGAAAGTGTTAACTGAACAATGTTCGATTAAATACAGCTCACTAACATAAGGAAGTAATTATGAACTGTGGCTAAGCAAGCAGCATAAAAAGTCAGAAATTAGGAGGGAGGTGCCTTCTTTTTTGGGAGGGGATATTTTGTTGCATTGAGAATATTTTTTTTTAACAGGTTAGAGCAGGTGAAAGTTACAATGACTAATCCGATGATTTGACAGATTTAGTAAAAAGGCCGGGCAAAGGTATGTTGCTTCCCTGTTCTGGATAAGGGCAAAGGCACCAAGGATGAATTTGATTCTTCCATGCTTGAACCAAGACTACAAACTATTTCATCAGCCAGTTAGCAACAAAATGGAAAGTAAATTTTCACTGGCTACTGCACATGGTGAAGCCATTCACTGGTGAGATTAGTTGCCAAGTATAATTTCATGGTTACTTGAAGAGGGGGGTGCTTTGGTACTTTATCTCAAAACAAGAGAAGAGCAGAGAGGATGCAGATCTGATTGAACATTAAACTAAAGAGTGTGCATTCGCGGAAGGTACATTTGGGGGCTTTGGAAAGTTAATTAGGAATCAAGTGGAGAATCAGTTGATGTCTATGCCAATAACATTAGGGCGGTTGGCTGGATTAGCAGGACTTATCAGAAGGTTTCAGAGTGACACATTCGCAACCTTTCAGCAACAGAATTGAAAACATGGAAATGAGCAATTTGCTAGTGAGACCTAAAGCCTTGATTGTTTATAGGAAATTGGGTGCACAGGCAACCAGAAAAAAGGGACCCAGTGCAATATGAGAAATTCAGAGACTAGTGCTTTAGGTGTAAGTGGCTTCACATGATTGGAGAGTGTAAAGTACAACTTCGGTAAGACAATCTATTATAGGTGTGGTGAGTCAGGCCATATTGATAAATGTTGATGTCAGGAAAAAGGAGGGGCTACTGTACCAGTAGCTACCCCCTTGAGCGGCACACTGCCAATGACTGTCAACTGTGGAAGAAATGGTTGGAGACAAGAAGGGGAGAGCTCTTATGGATACTGGATGCAGGATTACACTGATAACAATAAAGTTAGCAGCCATCTACATTGGAAAGAGAAGTGTAGCAGCAGTGGATGGAAGGGAGGTCAAATGTAAAAGAATCAGCAGAGTCAAACTGACAGTGCACCAAGTGTGCATATAGGTGGAAGTCATAATTGTTGACAACATTATCAAAAAGGCATCAACATTGTCATAGAAATGAATCTGATTAATCAGCTCACTGGTGTCATCATTGACAAGGATAAAGTCAATTTTGGTCATATGTGGTCTGTACAAGAATGTATGATGAGTTTAAAGTTTAAACAGATGGAATCAGAGCATTGAAATCAAAGATATAGATTTCTATGCAAAGTTTGATGGTGACAAATGGATGATGGAATGGTTTGGGGAGGGGTATTATTACTAATGGCAGTGGTCAAGCTGATGAAAAACAAAGTCAGACTGGTGCTGGACTTTAGAGAAGTGAATGTCTATATGGCATGTCACACACATGGTGACACCATAGACATTTGCCTTGAAACTGAAACTATGGAGACAAATGATAGTGAGTGGGGACCAAAACCATTGTTGACTTGAAAAGTGCCTACTTGCATTTAATTGAGAAACTGGCCATATCAGTTGGTGAAATACAAAGGATGTATATATTGTATAAAGCTCTGCGCCTAAAATCATGACAGTTGTGCTTAAAATCATGCTGGGAAGAAGTGAAAGTAATTTAAGGAGTGCCACCAATCCTTACATTGATGACATATTGGTGGATGAAACAGCTGCAACTGTAGAGGAAATGTGAGGTCATCTAAGGAAATTTGGATTGATAATGAAATCATCAGAATTGTTAGGAGGCACAGTGCTCAGATTGGAGAGAGACAAAATGGGAAATTTGTTATTTGAAAGAGAAAACATGCACCTACCAAAAAAAATAGGCAAAAAATTGAGCAGGTGAGAGCTATTTTCAATTTGCAGGAAATTGGTGAGTCACTGCCCCATCATTTGTTAGTTCAGGGTGGCATGCAGTTGTGTGAAAAGGAGAGCTGAGAGAACTGGCTGGTAGAATTATGTAGACCAAGAGACAGTTCTCATAATGTATGACATTGTGGAAGAAGTGAAAAAGGGAAGATCCAGGAAGATGGCATGTGTCCAAGTCAGAAAAAAAAGCATTGGTCTGTTGTGATGTCAACAGATGTTGGCATGGCTGTTTGCGTGGAAGTTGGTGACAGCATGGTTGAGAAATAGAAATCATTTCAACCAT